AGTCCTGGTGATACCTCTGTGCCCTGGAGGTCCCTGCTGGACCCTCTCCAAGCAGCCCTCTCCCCACTCGCTGCCTCTGTTTGTTGAAGCAGGCAGGTACTGTGTGAATCTCTGCCCAGGAATCTGAGCAAAGCAGGAGTCAGAAGCCTAGCCCTCTGCCCAGTGTGAAGCCTAAAACAACCGCGGGAATCCAGAGTCCTCAGTTGGGGAGAGGGGTGCCCATCTGCCACGAGGCTCAGCCTAGGCTGGGTGCGTTCCAGTTACTGGAGCATTTAAGGCAGATGGAACAGGTGGAGCTCAGGGCTGGGGGAGGATAAGGCACAGCCAGGATGCCAGCCTCAGAAGGGACAGGGACAGAGACCTAAGGCAAGTTCGGCTAGGGGAGCCTCTCAGGTGGGACGATTGACATTGATTGGGCGAAGCTTCTGCTGGCCCCGCCCCTCCCTGACAGGCCCCGTCCCCAGTCAGTCCAGTTTGGGCCTGGAAGGGTAGGTGTGAAGTCCCGTGGCTGCGGGCTGCTACAGACTGTTGCGCATGTGCCGGCGCGGCAGCAGCCTAGCGAAGCGGTCCCGAATCCAGCCTGGGCTAGACCTCGGGGTAAAGGCAGAGTCACCGGTATCTGGGGAGCCTCCGCCCCTGGGCTGACCCCGCCACGCCTAACCTCCCCAACCTGAAGCCGCGCTCAGTCTGGCTGCGCTCCTGGGAAGCCAGGGTCTCAGGGGGTTCAGACCTCCAACAACCCCCTCCCCTACGATCCCGGCCGAGACCTAACTGATCTCCTCCTGGCTGCTTTCAGAAGAGCTTCGGCGCGCAGGTTCTAGGAGCTGGACTCGGCAAGGCCACCGCAGGAGCAGCTGCTGCTCTGCTCCCCGTGGGCGGTGCAGCTTCTCCTGCACAAGTAGTCGGTGCCACCGCGGAGGCAGGGGGTCGGGGGCACACAGGACAGGTCTGCCCCTCCGTCCCACTTCCGTGCCGGTGCGAGCGATCAGGTTCATCAGTTCCTCTAAGGCCAAAAGTGAAGGGGACCTGCGCTGGAGCAGAGGGATTGGGCTTCTTCCAAGGCAAGAAAGGGACAAAAGACACCACAGGGTGCCTTGGGGAGGGGAGGGATTTAAGGGGGGGCCCGTGGCTGGGGTACCCCACAGCCTGAGTGAGTGGGGGCAAGCAAGTCTGTCCTAAGATGCACAGATTTTTCCCTTTTTGGGTGGTTCTGGGGATTGAACCCAGGGTCTTTATACCAGGCTATATCCCTAGCCCTTAAATTTTTTTTTTTTTTTTTTAATTTTGAGACCAGGTCTTGCTAAATTGCCCAGGCTAGGCTCAAATTTGCAATCCTCCTGTCTCAGGCTCCCAGAGTGCTGGGATCACTGGCTTGTGTCACCACACCCACCCGGGTATAATGGTTTTTGGTTTTTCCATCATGGAAAAAATTGCTCCTGTAGTCTGGGAGGTAAATGCTGCTGTAGGGTGCAGATACATTTATTGTCTGGGTCCTGTTCTCCTTACCAGGAGGCACAGAGGCGAGCATGAGGGGACCAGCCACAGCTGTGGGTGCCAGGGGATTCTCCACCCAACCCCTCCCTCTGCCCACCACCACCACCCCTGGCTGAGCAGTGTGTAACTGCAGTGGTGCAGCCTGTGGGCCTGGACCCTTCTCTTTCCTCTCACCACAGTGCTCAGTCTGAGAACCACTGCTACTCCCATAACAAGGACGACAGCAACTGCCAAATTTACTGTGCCCTTAATGTGGTACTTGGTGCAGTGCTAACATTTTACATGTATTTACTCCACACAGCTCAAAATGGGTTCTATCATTATGTCTATGTACAAAATATGTCAATGGAGCACATGGGAATTACAGAGACAGTTCAAGGTCAGTCAGTCTTGTCATCTTTCTTCTGGTCCCCTCCTACCCTCCAAGCCCCGTCCCTCCCCTCTGGTCCAGCCTCTACCCCAGGTAGCATTCTGGGGGTTCACTTCCAAACTGCCCTGGACCCTGAGCTCCCCGCCTCCGTTTCACCACACACCACCCTCCCCTAGTTTGGTCCTGGCATGAGGGGGCAAAGCTGGTACCAGGCTGCCCAGGGAGTAAGATGATCTAGGGCATGACCAGGATGTCCATCCCCACCCAGGACTCACCCAAGGCCCTGCGCTGGCCCAGCAGCCCCTGCAGGTCTGGCACCTGTGTCCCCCTCCTTATGCTCCCCAGTGTCCCAGGCCAGGTGCCTCCTGGAGCAGGCAGGAGCTTCATTGTCAGCTCAGTGTGATCCAGGAAGGCTGGGGACAAAAGGGAAGAGGGAGTCACCAGCACCATGCAGTGCCAGGCTGTAGAGAAAGACCAGGAGAGCAAGGTGGGAGCCTGTGAGAGGCAGGGCCTGGGGGCAGAACTAGAGGAGGAGGGGGAACCGATGCGGGGGGCTAGGAGCATCAGAGCAGCTTCCTGGCTTTGCAACCTGGATGAAAGCCTGTCCCTCTCTGGGCTTCAGCCTCCTCATCTGCAGGATGTGGGGAGGGTAGAGGAGGCTGGCTGCACATACCCCGCTCCTACCCCAGCAGAAGATGGGCCCCCTCCTGCTGGCTCCTCCAGAGCTTCAAAGTCCAGAGGCTCCAGGGCCATGAGAAACTACTGGGCCCACCACTGTCCCAATCCTGTCTTCTAGGTCTGGGCCCGCCACTAAACCAGCCTGGGCATAATCACCACCCCTTCCTTCTCTCCAGGGAGTCTCAAGTCCCAAGAGTGCTTGGCTCTGAGAAGCTGTCATGGCACCTATTTCTGACACCCTTTAAAAGGGGTGCTGTTTTTGCTTTGTTTCATTTTCTGGAACTGAGGATTGAGCCTAGTCTTCACATTGAGTTACCTCCCCAGTCCCTTTTATTTATTTTTTTGGTACTGGGGATCGAACTTGGGACCTTGAGCTTGCAAGGTAGGCACCAGAACCACTGAGCTAAATCTAAGTCATTAAGTACTCCAGGCTGCCTTTGAATTCTGTCCTGCTTCAGCCTCCCAAGTAGTTGAAGTTACAAGAGCTCATTACCACATTCAGCTCCTGGTGGCTTTCTTTCTTTCTTTTTGTGGTACCAGGGATCGAACTCAGGTCCCTGCACCTTTGAGGCAGGCAGCAGAACCACTGAGCTAAATCCCCGGCTCTATTTTTTTTCTTTTTTCAGTACTGGGGAATCTAACCCAGAAGTGCTCTACCACTGAGCACCTTTTATTTTTAAATTTTGAGACATGGTCTCACGAAGTAGCCCCTGGCCTCCAAGTTGCCATTCTGCTCCCTCAGCCTCCTGAGTAGCTGAGAGTACAGGCATGTGCCACCATGCTCAGCTCCTGGCGGCCTCTGACACTGCACTGAGATGGCTGTCTCCAAGCCTCTGAGAAGAGGAGCTGCACCTGGACTCAGACACCCTTCTTGGACATCATGCCCGGGACTGGCTAAATTATTTATGGGGCTCAGGGCAGAATGAAAATGCAGGACCCATTTCACAAACTAGGGCCTTAAATGTGGCAGGAACAGAGCATTAAACTGGGCACTGACAGCAGGCTCACAGAGCCCACATTCTCTTCTACACAGGGTACTGCCCTTGACAAATAGAGACCTCTGTCCTGGCTGGCTCCCAGTCCTGCCCTCTGGTAGTGGCCTAAGTAGGTGGCCTACTAAGTACAGAAGCAGCCCTGGGGGAGGGTCTGGAGGGTCTGAGAATACAGCCCTGGCTTGGATGTGGCCAAGCTGTAAATCCAGCCCCAGTGTCCCCTCCTATTTTGCTCTTCCTCAGGGACCTCTTGGCCTGGGCTGAAGGTGGTTGAGGGGTCGATTCTCTGAGCACAGCAGAGCTACCCAAGGCTGCCTTACAGCAGGAGAGTCTGGGTGTCCTCTGAGTTACACCCAGAGATCACTAGGGGGACATGGGGAAACTGGTGCTCAGCACACAAGGACCCCTGGGGCTCCCAGCCAGCCCCCTCCCCTTCCCTGGGCCTACCCACAATGCACTATTGCCCAGACGTTCAGGGCTGGCAGCTGGCTTGGCAGTCTGAGTCTCAAGGTCCCCCCAGGCATATTCCTTCTTGGAGTGTGGGATCAGCCAGGGACCAAGCTCAGCCTCACTGGAGTAAGGAGGAACTACTAAAATCAGTCTCTCATCTGGCCCAGACTTGGGCAGGCTGACAAACCCAGGGGCAGCACCCAGGGTGAACAGGCGGGCAGTGTGCACAGCCATGCAGGCAGCTGCTCAGACTGCGGGCCAGGATGGGGGTACATCCTGAGAATGAGGAGCCTCTTGTGAGTGCCAGGGGCAGGAGGGGGCAGTGTGTGGTCACCTGTGAGTGTGGCCTGTGCAGTGCCTCCTCAGAAGGCAGTGGTACAGTAAGCTGGTTTGGGGATCACTGTATTTGGGCTCCAGGGCCACCCAGCTGAGTCAGACTCAGGCCAGGGCTCCACCCATGGGGCGGCAGGGTTTCATCAGGATACCGCCCTCTCACCCCCACTTCAGCCAATCTTTCCCAGTGTCTGGCTGAGGAGCCAGGGGTGACACAAGGCTGGGGCTGCTGCTGTCTTCTCGGGCCTCCCAAGGGGCAGAGCACCCTCAGCCCAGCTCATAGCTGACCCCACCAGGTTCGCCCTCTGGCTCTGCCCTTGGTGCTTTCTAACTCCTGGGCTGGCAGGGCCCAGCCAGGCAATCTCGTGATGAGGAAAGCACCAGAATGGAGGACGTGCCTCCTGGGCACACAGGGGGAGGGCACCTCCTAAGCCCTGCCATAGCTCCACATGACCGAGTGGTGGGCTGGCTGAAAGGATGTGGGCAGAATGGGCCCCAGCCTGGGGCTGGTCCACAGAAGCCACCCAGTAACCTTCTACTTGCCCTCATCCCTGTCTGTGGACTGGATGTTGGGGCCCCAGGGTCAGTTGGGAAGATCCCGGGGTCTCTGAATGGGTGTCCACTTTCACTCCTCCTGAGGTGAGACCTAAGAAGAGAAAAACACTTCCACAGAGCTGGGCAACTGGGTTTCCAGGATTTATCTGACAGAATGGATGGTGTCACCTCAACTAATAAGGCTTTGTCGAAGTTGCCCGAGATCCAGGGAGCTGCTGAGCCTCCATCACCCTCCATGGGTGCTGCAGAAGGAGAAAGGGCAGCGAGAGGTGGGGAAACATCTGGACTCTGGAGCCGTGTCCTGGAGCCCTGTGTCGCCATCTCACTGCCATGTATTCCTTCAGGAAGACACTTCTGGGACCAGACCCTTGCCCGATAGGTCTCAGGGTGGGACCCATGTGCCTGCCCTGGGTCAGGCCCCAGGTCCTTCCCTCAGTCCTGGGTCACCTAAGGGTTGGGCGTGGAAGCCACAGGTGTGTACTCATGATCCCACCACCTCTTAGCCAGGGGTCTTCTCTGCAGGGGTGGGATGCAGGCCGGCTGCCACCTGGTCCTGGTGCCACAGCTGCTCAGCGAGGCCATTGAGCACATGGGCAATGTCAGCCAACCCAGCCCGGCCGTCCAGTGTGCACCCATCCACCAGCCGCCGGCCTGGCACGCTCTTCACCCGAAGCAGGGGCAGCTCCCAGGCCTGCCGGAAGGTGGTGAGGTCCCGCTCAGGCACATCAGTGTGCATGTACTGGTCGAATCTGGAAGGGCCCTGTCAAGGATCCTGGCCAGGCATCTCTGCTGCCCAAGCCACCAGGGCCCCACACCCAGGGGCTAGGGTGGCCATGTAGCACCCTTAATGAAAAAGCCCACGTCTGGACCCGCAGCTGGACAGAGGCAGGGTCTCTGACCCTCCTGCTCTGTGCTTGTCAGGGTGGACTCTCATGTCCCAGGGATACCCAAAGGATACTTGGAGCCAATGACCATCCTGACCACACCAGGGGCCTCGCCTGCAATGCGGGCCAGCTGCCCAGGCAGGTCTTCAAAGGAGGCACGGTCGGTGAAGGAGAAGAGGAAGAGGAAGGCGTCTGCGTTCTCCTTGCAAGCCTGGGGATAGACAACCAGCTCTCGGCAAGTGTGGCCACAAACCCACAGAACCAGAGTCCTCTAATCAGCTGCAGGGCCCCAGAAGAATCAGTAACAATCTCTCTCACAGATGGGGAAACTGAGGCCCAGAGCAGGGAGTGGCTGTCCTAGGGCGAAGTTTCGGCTGGGAGTCTCAGGGATGACTCAGGGTTCTCCCGCCTAGGATACCACCCTGAGCTCACTCAGGCCCAACTCAGGCTCCCAAGGCCCCCAGATCCAGCCTGCCACCTGCTCACCGGCAGCATGTGGTCGAACTTTCTGAGCGAAGACTCCCCGCAGTCCCAGAACTCGAAGCGGAACATGACAACCCGGCTGCTGGCCTGCAGCTTGGCTGGCCAGAACACCACAGTGGTCTGGATGCCTGGGGAAGACTAGGGTCAGCCGTGCAGCATGGAAGAGGTGGCAGTGGATGGGGACAGGTGACCAGGAAGGAACAGGGCTCTGGGACATCCCCAATCTGATGTGGAAGGAATGGGCCCTGCTCTGGGAGACGTCTGTCTTGTGGTAGGAACAGTGCCTTGCCCTGAAGGAGCCTCTGGTGCACCCGTGGGACAGGGGAGCCAGTGTGGGCTCAGAGAAAAGTGGCTTTTCAAGGTCACGGAAGAGGTGGGAGGTTGGGGACAGACCCTAGCTGGTGTGGTGAGATCCAGGGTCTTTCCTCACCCTAGAGAGGCCCCCGAGGATGGCACTGGGTAGGGCCCACTCACCGGGGGTCTCGTGGTGCACCACAGGCACCTCCAGTCCAGCCAGCTTGGCTACCAGTGCCGTCTTGCCCACACCACTCTTCCCAGACACGAAGATCTTGTAGCTGGCAGTGTCAATGGCCACAGGTGGGGACAGCAGCGGCCGCTCAAGCAGCCCTTGAGGGAAGAGCAAGGAGGAGCCAGGCAGTTAGGGAGTCAGTCCTGAACTTGCCCAACGGGCCTGAGATGAATAACATCATCTCTAAGGGTTTCTTTTTTCTCTCTTTTTTTGGTGCTGGGGATCGAACCCAGGAGTGCTCTACTACTGATCTATATCCCCACTCGTTTTTATTTTTTTGAGACAGGGTTTTGCTAAATTGCCCAGGCTGGGCTTGAATTTGCAATCCTACTGCCTCAACCTCCCTAAATCCTGGGATTACAGGTGTGCACCACTACACCTAGTGTCTAAGCACTTCTTCAGATCTAACCAACCATCTAAGGTTCTCAGTACTCATCCTAATATTACAGAGGCCCGGGAGACACAGAACACCTAAGTTCTCACAGTTAATACACTAAGACCTATTCCTATTTATCAGCTGTTTTTGACCTTTTTAGGGGGCTGGATGACACACTCAGGTGGGCATCCCCAGCTATTAATCCCCAAGGTACCTGCTGGTAAGGATAACACTACAAAAATTAGAAGTCCATCAGTGGTTCCTGTACCTGCCTTGCAAGTGCAAGGTCTGGAGTTTGATCCCCAATACCAAAAAAAAAAAAAAAATTCAAAGTCCTACCCAGGGCACAGTGGCACATGACTGTTAGTCCAGGTACTCAGCAGGCTGAAGTAGGAGGATTCCATGTTCAAGGCCAGCCTGGACGATTTAGCAAGACCCTGTCTCAAAGTAAAATTTAAAAGGTCCAGCAATGTAGCTCAGTAGTAGAGTGCTTGCCTAGTGTGCACAGGGTTCTGGGTTTGATCCCTAGCACTGGAAAAAAAGTTCAAATAATCACTGCCATTCCTCTAAGTTCTGGCTGCCCTATACTATGACATAGATGAGGACTATGTGCTCTGCATACAGTAATTCCCGTTACTGGTCCTACCTTCCCTCATCTCTTCCACTCAACACAACTGAACACATAATAAACACACTAAGAGTCAACACTTGGTCAGGCACAGTGGAGCACACCTGTCATGCCAGCACTCTGGGAGGCTGAGGCAGGAGGATCACAAGTTTGAGCCCAGCCTGATCAACTTAGCAAGACTGTCTCAAAATAAAAAATAAATGGGGCCAGGGATTTAGCTCAGTGGTTCCACCGCCTGTCTGCCTGTCTGCCTGTCTCGCAAGCGCAAGGTCCTGAGTTTGATCCCCGGTACAAAAAAAAAATCAAAATAAAACAAAAAGGGCTAGAGATGTAGCTCAGCGCAAAGGCCCTGGGTTCAAATTCTAGGAAAAAAAGAAAACAAAGTCAACCCTCAGCAAACATTCAGTGCTCAGTCTGCTATATACATGTCCCTTATTCATTTCCCCAGCACTCTGTGGGGGAAGGGCAATGATTTGCCCCTCTTTACAGAGGAGGAACCTGAGGCTGGAGTTCACTTGTCCAGAGATACACAGCTAGGCAGTGGTGGAGCCTGGGTCAAGCTTGGGTCTGGGTGACTCCACATCCAGTGTTCCCAGCTACTGTGGGGGACGGAAAGAGACGATGGTCATGTTAGTCAGTGATGCTTGTTGTAATTTCTTCAGAAAAAAAAATGTGGCCCCAGACACAGTCCCACATGTCTGTAGAACTAGCTACTCAGGAGGCTGAAGCAGGAGGATTGCTTGAGCCCAGGAGTTTGAAGCCAACCTGAGCAATATAACGAGTCTCTCTCTCTCTGAGACTCCATCTCTTTTTAAAAAGTACATTATTTAGAAACCCTGGTCTGCCAGCTATCCTTAGTAATAAAGGACTCTAGCCTAACTCCTATACATGCAAAAGACACTAATGTAAGGTTCCTGAGATACAAAGGATATATAAACTGCCGTATCTTGTGTAGAAACACTAAGAGTTTGGATCCAAAATCTCAGAGGACTATAGTTCTAAAATACTTAGTCCCAGCTGGGTGTGGTGGCAAATTTGTAGGGAGATAAAATATTCTATGTTGTGATGGAGGTATTAAGTTATAGGTGGATCCATTTGTCAATGTAACACAGTTAATATTTCTGTCTTTTAATGCATGTAAATTTCTTCAAAAAAAGAACTTTTTTTTTTTTTTAAAAGAACTATTAAGAGCCAGGCATGGTGGTGCACCCCTGTAATCCCAGCACTTGGAAGGCTGAGGCAGGAGGATCACCATGAGTTTGAGGCCAGCTAGGGCTACAGAGTGAGTTCAAAGTCAGCCTGAATTACATAATGAGACCTTGTCTCAAAAAGCAAATAAACAAACAACAACAAAATAATAATAACAATAATAATAAAATCAGCACTGGTGTCTTAGGACCTTATTAGGAATGTAAACCTCATTTACATGGCCCAGACCCACAGGATCAGAGTCTGCATTTTAATAGGACCTTAGGTGAGAAGTCTACCTAGAACAGTGGGGCCCCGTGAGCAAGACCTTAGACCACTCCAAATAACACTCAATCTTTTTTATTTTGTTTTTTGCCTTTTTTTTTTTTTTTTTTGGTATCGGGGATCGAACTCAGGACCTTGCACTTTCGAGGCAAGCAGTGGAACCACTGAGCTAAATTCCCGGCCCTGTTTTTTGCTTTTTTTGAGACAGGGTCTCACTATGTAGTTCAGGCTGGCTTTGAACTTACTATATAGCCCAGGCTGGCCTTGAACTTGTGGTGATCCTCCTGCCTCAGCCTCCCAAGTTCTAGGACTACAGGTGTGTGCCACCATGCTCAGCTTCACCCAATCTTTTTCATTTATTTATCTATCTATCTATTTATTTATTTAATTTTTTAGGTACTGGAGATCGAACTTGGCTCCTTGCGCTTGTGCAGCAGGAGACAAAACCACTGAGCTAAATCCCTGGCCCATCACCCAATCTTTTAAAAAATTTGATGCATAAGATAATTTTTAATTCTACTGTGATAATGTTCTAGATTTCCCACACACAAGAGTATGGTTCTTCACAATTCTCTCTTTCTCTGCACTGGGGCTCAAACCCAGGGGTTCTCTACTGCTGAGTCACATCCCTGGGCCTTCCCCACCTCGTTTTATTGAGACAGGGTCTCCCTATGTAGTTCACTATGTAGCCTAGGGTGGCCTCCAACTCATGGTGATTCTTTTGCCTCAGCCTCCCCAGTGGTAGAATTGCAGGCATGCATCACCATGCCAGGACCTATCCCCGCTCCTTTTTTGGGTACTGGGGACCTAACTCAAGACCTTGCACTTTTGAGGCAGGCGGTGGAACCACTGAGCTAAATCCCCGGCCCCCCATCCCCTTTTATATTTTAGTCTGAGACCATGTCTAAGTGGCCGAGGCTAGCCTCCAATCTGTGATCCTCCTGCCACAGCTTCCTGAGTTGCTGCTATTATTACAGATAGATGAGATAGGTAGAAATATTATAGGCAGTCAGATAGGGCTAAGTCTTCAAGAGGGCCAGGACAAAGGTGAAACAAACCACAGCTGGATATTGGCTAAACACCAGGCCTCAAGATGGAGACAAGATGACCAGACCCACATACTTCTTCAAAGAACTGGGCTTAGTGAAGTATAGATAGGCATCGACCACCCTGGGAGTGACCAGAGACCTCTGGACCCACGGCCCCCTAGGAGAATCCTTGTTCTTTCCATCCATGCTTGCTATGTGACTTGCTTCCCAATTGGACCACCATTACCTAAGTGACTATACTTGTAACCTTATTGGATGTTCATGGCAATGGCGCACATTGTACCCACATTGTACCACACTGAACGTCAGCTTCACCGTATAAAACTTCTGTATAAGGTGGGGTCCTTGGGCTACCCACTTGGGACCCCTCCTGCCCCTCAGGAGCTTTCCTATCAATAAATATCTTCCTACTTTATTTTTTTGGTATCAGGGATCAAACTCAGGACCTTGCGCTTGCCAGGCAGGCAGTGGCACCACTGAGCTAAATCCCTGGCCCTAATATCTTCTTACTTTCAACCTTCATCGTTCCTAGGACTCATTCTTCGATTTCTAGAGAACAAGAACTCAGCCTATCATACAGTTAACAGGTTAGGAGATATAATATTTCATATTTCCTGTGACACCATTACAGGCATGCACCCCCATGCCCAGCTTTCCTTAATAGAGAAAAATAAACAAAAGTATTTTCAAATAAAACCAATAGAATCAATGTATTGAGACCTTTGCGGGTGTTTTTAACATACAACTAGCACACCCAAGATGAATGTAATTATTATGTATAGCAAACATATACTAATAAAAAAGGAAACAAACAAAAACTGTCAAGATAAAGACAGGCCTACAGGCTAAGGACCTGAATGTCCTAGAGTGGACTGCGCTCTCACTCCCTCCCTGGTCTTAAGCCTGCCAGTTTTGTCTCTCTCACCATGGCTGGGCTCTGGCAGCTGAAGCCAGGCCCCTCGGCTAACAGCCTCGCGCTGGCTGCATTGGGACAGCAGAGACGGAAGAGGCTGCTCTCTCCTTACTAGGGCGCGACCCCGACACATGTTGCTAAGTGAAATGTGAGCCCACTGGATCCATTGCCCAGCAGAGGGCCCGCCACCAAGTGAGGGCTCAATCAACAGCATCTCTGATGAAAGCGGTGGCTGGCAGGGTTTCCGCCGATTCCATGTTGCTGGCTTTGTTGATGGAATCAGCTCTGGGGAGATTTGGGGGTGGGGCCCAGGAATGGGGCTTGCAGGAGCCCCTAAGGCCCAGGAGCACACTGGAGCAGGTCCTCACTGCTTTGCTTCTATGCATTCCCACCGAGCAAAGGTTACACTGTCCTCCCCAGGGAGCAACGACAAGCTGGGGAAGGGGACACTTACCAAACAACCGCCGGCGGTTCTTGCGCAGGATGCAGGCCAAGTACTCCTTGCCCTCGGCTGTCTCGTGCCAGTCTGGGACAATCACGGAGCCGTGCGCTGGTCTGGTCATGACTGAGCACGCCAATAGGTAGGAGGTGCAGGACGAGGAGAGCAGAGGTGGGAGGCGTAACTATCCCAAGCCGGACCTGTGATCCCTCCTAACTGCTCCCTCACTTTCTCACGGAGCCCCAGCTCCCCACCCGGAAGGGCAATTCCCTAGCCCCTCTTCCTTCTCTCGGGCACAGTCATCCCGCTGCTGCTGGGGAAAGGTATTTGCACAATTCCTCTCCCGGGAAGTGTATCTGGACAACTCCTCCTTAAAGGATCTGTTCCTTACCGCTTTAGTGAGGGGAGTTCACACAGACCTGCCTCTCCTCTACCTCCTCGATCCCGACTCCCCGGGCTACCCAGCCTTCACCGTCAGCAGTGCCCGCCATGAAATCGACTGCGGTGGAGATGGTCCCTTTAAAAGCCCGCGCTGCGCTCCACCGCCTAGCCTAGCTCCCGACGCCCGCTTCCGCCTGGCCTGCGTCGGCTTTGGTAAGCGCCGCCGGCCCAGGGATGGAGCCCGAGGCGCATGTGCAGAGGCTGTTGCCATGGAGACGAAGGGCGGGGCGGGGCTGCTGGGGTCCTCGAGGTGTTAGCGCTTCCTATGACTTCTTCGGCTAGCGCTGCACTGACACGAGGACCGAACCTTCCCTTCTGGATCATGGGTCCGCTTCATCACTCCGTCCTCGCTCCAGTCTTTCCTCCCAAACTTGACCAAATCCCTCCCTCTCCAGAAATGTTCCACGCCTGCTGTGCCTGTTTCTCTTCTTTGAAGTGGATGTAAAATGCCATATATGTTATACAGCAGGATTCTTTATAACAGTGCCTGTTCCATAGCAATGCTCGTTTAATTATTGCTTCTAATATTACTGATCTATTTAAAATTAATTAATATTTATTACTGTCTGGGGATAGAACCCAGGGGTCCTCTTTCCCTGATCTACATGTCCTTTTTTTTTTTTTTTGATAGTCTTGCAAATTTGTCCAGGCTGGCTTGTGATCTTTCTGCCTCAGCCTCCCAAATACCGGGATTACAGGCGTGTACCTACACCTGGCTTGTAGTTTTTCTTAAAAGTACAATTTTAAAATCCTGATTTTCTTTGTCTCCTTTTTACCTACCTTCAGGGTGTATATTAGTCAGCTTGGGCTGCTGTGACTGAGTAACACAGAATGGGGGTTTAAGCAGCACAGATTTACTTTCCGAAGTTTTGAAGGCTGTAAATCCCAACTCGAGGTGCTGGCAGGGTGGATTTCTGGCGAGGCTGCCTTCTCATTGTGTCCTCCTCACGTGGCCTCCTCTCCGCACCCACTCTCCTGGTGACATTTTCTCTTCTCCTAAAACACCAGTCCTATTGGATTAGGGCCCTTTGGCCATGATCGCATTTAATTACCCCCTTAAAGGACCCATCTTCAAATACAGTCTGCCTGGCCAGGGATTTAGCTCAGTGGTTCTGCTGCCTGCCTTGCAAGTGCAAGGACCGGAGTTCAATCCCTGGTACCCAAAAAAAAAAAATATAGTCTGCCTGGCATTAGGGCTTCCACATACTCAGAGCCTGTAGACCTCATTTAGATTAACGTTACTGCTGGGGCCTGGGAGTGACTGATCAAAACTGCATTTCACCAGGACAGTTGTGGACCATCTCTGTCTCATGGGTTCTGCCTTCCTGTGCCCTGTGATCACTAAATTGTGTGTCCTGCTGAGGTTGAGGAAATAAAAGACAGGTAGAAAGGAGACAAGGAAACCATAACTAAAAATGAACTTTTTTTTTCTTGTTACCAGGGATCAAACTCGGGTCCTTGCCCTTGCAGGGCAGGCGGCAGAACCACCAAGCTAAATCCCTGGCCCTCAACGGTGAACTTTTAAAAGGTGATCTATATCAGCATTCCCTTGGTTAAATTTAGGCTCTTTTTTTCCCAGACCCATCACACCCAAAATTCCTCAGGAAAACTGAAAGTCCATAAATTGACTTAATTAAAAAAGTAAAGAGCAGGAGCCTGAACCTAAGATAAAAGGAGTATGTTGAGAAAAATCCAAAGAATGCTTGTTTCTTAAAAAGAAAAAACAAAAAACAACTGGGTCCATACCCGTAAAATGGGCCAGTACCCTCCTAGGGGATGGGCCATCTCTTCCCAGGATTTCCACCTCTCAAGAGAATAAATGTTCCCCAGTCCACAGAACCAATTTTCTGCAACAGGAGCCAGTGAGCCTGCAGTCCTACAGCAGTGGGTTAGGCTCCTGGGCACGGCCTCTGTCCTCAGGCAAGACGGGTGGACCATCTCCCTGTGGCCCTGCTGGTGGAGAGCCCTCTGGTTAACCTGCTCAGGTCTTCCTGGTCTCATCTCCCAAGGATTTATTCTGCACCTCCAACAAGGCCTTGAAAGCAGCTTTCAGCAGGGACACAGATACACCCTGGGGCAGACTGGAGGCCCCGGGGCACACACAGAGGCTTGAGTGGGCAGGTGAAGACAGGTCAGAGTGAGGCCTGGCTGCCCTGCCTGAGGATCCTGAGGGGAAGCAGACAGGGCCCGAGGCCTAACACCCTCCTCTGGCTTCCCACAGCCCCTGGAATCTCCCTCCCATGGCCCTCGGGGCCCCTCACTCCAGTACTCCAGCACTCCAGCCCTGTTGGCTTTTCCTCTCCTGGCGCTCAAGCGCAGGCCCACCTCAGGGCCTTTGTTCTTTTTTTTTTTAAACACTTCCAACTTTTAATGGCACAAGATAGACATTTACATCCCAAAAGGTACAAATAGGGAGATAAAATAGGGAGGAGAGGGGTTTGAGGCAGGGGAACGGGATAAAACAAAATTCATTAAAATAAAATAGGGAGATACAAAGGAATGGGACCAAAGCAAATCCAAAATCCAGCAGGGCAAACATTAAGTCCTATAGTTCCACTTCCAGTATCCCCAGCAGTCTGTGACAGTTGTGAACTCCAAAGGGCTTTGGTGGTTCCACCCTTGTAGCACTGCCTGTGGTTGTAGCCCCCATGGCTTCTCTCTGGGGCCAGCTCTGCTCCGTCCCTGCACCTTTCCTCAGAAGGTCCATGTTCCTGGCTTCTCCAGACTTCTGGGGTCTCCACTGCACCTTGGGCTTCACACTCACAGCTTCACACACTGCCCTCTCAGGGGCACACTGCCTGGCCTCCCAGGCCTTCTTCTGAAATCTGAGTGGAAGCCTTCCTGACCCCACAACTCTTGCATTCTGAGTTGGGGTTTTTTTGTTGTTTTTTTTTGGTACCAGGGATTGAACTCAGGACCTTGCACTCCCCGGCCCCTTTTGTTTTGTTTTGAGACAGGGTCTTGCTTTGTAGTTCAGGCCGGCCTTGAAGTCACTACGTAGGCTAGGGTGTCCTGGAACTCATGGCGATCCTCCTGCCTCTGTCTCCTAAGTGCTAGGATTACAGGCACATGCCATCATGCCCAGCAATTCTTGCATTCTGTATGCACCTAAAACCAGCACCATGTGGGTGACACTGGGTCTGCCGCCAGCTGGAGCAGTAGCCAGGCCTCCTTCTCTCTTGGCTGTAGGGGTCGAGTGCCTGGATCACTGAGCACTCTGAATCCAATCCCAAGGAACAAATTCTCTAGGCTGCCACCATTCTGGAACATGGTGCGTTAGGGCTCTCTTCTCAAAGCAGTTTTTCACCTTTGCAGCACTGAGGCTTCAAAGGCTAGAGTCCTACTGGTTCTTGTGATGCCCTCAGGCTATCTTTTCAGTGCCTTCTGAAATACTTGGCTTTTTCTTGCAAGTCTTTTCAGGGACCAATTTCTTCTCTCTTCCATCTTCGCAGGCTGCAACTTTACCAGAGATTCCTTTCTGGCCAAACTCACAATGGGGTTTTTGTTTTGTTTTGTTTTGGTACTGGGGATTGAACTTGGGTCCTTGAGCTTTCGAGGCAGGTGGCAGAACCACTGAGCTAAATCCCCGGCCCCATGCTCACAATGTTTTGAATCATTCTGCTGGGTTCTTTGCTCTTTATTCTCAACATAAATCTGGCTAAAAGCGCCCAACAGTAGCCATGCCATGGCTTCAACATTAGACTGCCTTGAAATTTATTCTTCAAGATTAGTCTGCTGCCTTTAATCTCAGTCTCAGGCAAAGTTTCTGGACATGAGCAAAATGCTGACAAAATTTCTGCCAAGACATAACGCACATCATCTGGAGTCCAACTGTCAGTGAAGTCCTTCTTCAAGCAGAAATCTCCGGAGCCTGGTCTTTACCACAGCATTTCTATCAGCATTCTAGTCTTCTGAGCTCTGACCAGAATCTCCCATCAAATACAGTCTTCAGTGTTCCAGGGTTGCTTTTCCAGCTGGCATCTCCAAACCTTTCCAAACTCTTTCTATAAGCCAGTTCCAAAGGCTCCTCCTGAACCACTTGGTCAGGTACAGTCAGGTCCCACTTAGTTACTTTTCTCATTGCTGAGACAAAATACCTGACATCCAAAGTTAAAGGAGGAAAAATTTATTTGGGTTAGTTTGTTGCGCTTTCAGTCCATACATAATTGGCTGGCTCCAAGGCAGGATGTCATGGCAGAGGGGTATCACAGAGGAGAAACAGACCACGGCAAGCAGGCAAGGGAGAGCACATTAGCCCTCTTTCTGTCCCTTATGTTCTATGCAGGCCATTGCCCTAGGGCAGGTATAGCACTCACACCCTTAATCTTAACCAGAACTATACTAAACCAACCGGTGGACTGATTTAGTAATCATACACTTCTGAGTCCAGAACCACACACTCTAGATCTAGCCACCTGTGAAATGTGCCCCCATGACTCCATGAGGCTTTAGGGGAACATCTAGACACAAGCTATAACGCCCATTTTCATACCTATACAACTGTGTGGAGCAGCTATTGTGAGCAGAGCAAGGATACAGTTCTGAACCTTGGTCCCTGCTGTGTCTGAGGCTTGGTTTCTACTGGATTTGAGCCTTGATCCCTGCTGCAATAGGGGCTAGGCCAGCAGGGGCTCAGCACATGGAGGGGATCCAGTCAGGGAGGGCTTCAGGAAGGATGGCATTTTGACCTTGATGGTGGAAGATGAGTGTGGTGGGTGGCCGGAGACCAGGAAGGAGGCTGTCCTGCTGCAGTGCTCGTGGAGATTGAATGGGTTCCGGCAATGCTCTGTGCTCTGGCCACTGCCTTTCACCTCTTGCTCCAGGATCCTGGCTGCCAACGACCAGCTCTTCATCAGCTCCTATGACTGGACAGCTCGAGTCTGGACTGTGACAAGGGGCAGGTGTTCCGGGAGTTTCGGGGCCACTCCAACTGTGTCCTGACTTTGGCCTACTCTGCCCCCTGGGATGCTTCCTGTGCAAAAGAGGCTGAGGCTGGGGGGCTCCTAGTGACAGGCAGCTCAGACAGCACAGCCAAGGTGTGGCAGGTGGCCAGTGGCTGCTGCCACCAGATGCTGCAGGGCCACACGGGCACCGTGCTGTGCTTGGTGCTGGATGGGCCTGGCTGCACAGCCTTCATGGGCTGCACCGATGCCACCATCCGCACCTGGGACATCCTGAGAGGGGAGCAGCTGTGGGTATTCTGAGAGCACCGGGGCTCCGTCATCTGCCTGGAGGTGAGAGCTGCAGGCTGCCTGGGGGCCCAGGTGCTCCTCAGAGTTGCCCTGCCTCTGTGTGCCAGCTGGCTCTGGCTGGGGACAGAGCCCCGAGGGCAGGGCTTAGAGGACAGAACCTTGTCTCAGTTCCAGAGGCCAGAAGTCAGAGATCAAGGGGTCTGTCACAAGGGTGGCTGCTCCTGAGGCCTCTCCTTGGCTTGTGGATGGATCATCTCTCAAGGCTTTTGTTCTTGCTGCTCCCTCTGCAGGGATCGCTCTACCTCACACATCTTCCCATAACTGGGTTTTTTAAATTTTTTCTTCCCAGTAGTGGGGATTGAACACAGAGCCTTTGCACTGAGCTACTTCCCCAGCCCTTGTATTTTCTATTATTTTGAGACAAGGTCTTGCTAAGTCACTAAATTGCACAGGCTGGGCTTGAACTTTTGATCGTCCTGCCTCAGGCTCCTAGAGTGCTGAGATTATAGACATGCACCACCAGTGGTGCCTGGTTTATGGCTGGCTTCTCTACAAGTCTCAGCTGCCATGCTGCTGCTATAGAAAGGGCTTCTTAGATGAGTGAACCTACAACACACTGTCACATTCTGCCACATCACCCTCTAGGGTAGGTAGCCTTGCTTAGCTGTTCACACACTTGTCTGTCCCTTTCCCCTATCCCTTGCTCAAAGGTGAAGTCCACAGGGTGGGGACAATGGCTGGCAACCAGTAGGGCCTACAGTCCACATGTAGCTGTTGAATGCAGGGAGAAGGGCAGGCCAGACACCTCCTCTCCCAAATCTGGTCACCTGTGACGAGGCCAGCGTGTCAGGCAAGTACTGTCCCACTGAGCCCCAGCCCCAGCCACACAACACGTCTTGATGATGTCCTCTCCTGGTTGCCACTGCTGAGGCCTGGACATGTTCCTGGGCCCCACCTCTCCTACTCCCAGTCTGTTCTCCACTTCCACCCTCTGGCTTAGTCACAGTGTCCTCAAGGTTGGAATACCCCTTGACCTCTGTGCCTTTACACATGCTGCTCTGTGTCCTGCACACGAGTCCTGGCTCCTCCTGTGTGCGCCATGTGCCCGCTCCTCTGGGTTCCAGGCACCCTTGGCTTCATTCCTCATTGAAACAAGTATGAATTTTTACCATCACAGGTGCAGATGGGTAAGAAACAGAACTTCCAGCAGGGCACAGTGGTACACATCTGTAATCCCATGGACTTGGGAGGCTGAGGCAAGAGAATCGCAAACTCAAGGCCAGCCTGGGCAAACAGCAAGACCATGTCTCAAAGTGAAAAATTAAAAGGGCCAGGGGTGTAGCTCAACAGTAGAACACTTGCCTAGCACATGAAAGGTCCTGGGTTCAATCTCTAGCACCACAACAGGAAAGAAGTAGAACCTCAGGGCTGGAGGTGTATGTAGCTCAGTGTGCAGTGCATGCTTAGCATGCACAACACCCTTGGTTTTATTTTCCAGCACCACAAAAAAAACCCCAAGAAACTTCGTTTTCTCTGACTCAGTCTCTGAGCCCCTCTCCTCTCTGATGGGCATTTTAATTCCATGATTTCCTGGTAAACTTGAGTGCAGCTGTTTCTCATTCTCTGTACTTTCAACACTCTTCAAGTTTCTGTTTGCCCCTCACCCCCTGCCCTGGGGCCCAGTCACTGGAGGAGGGGGCGCTACCTAAATGCTAGGGAACATGGCTGGGGTGGGGCTTGCACTCCTCAGTTGCGGTCTTTCCAGGGGCACAAGCCCTGGCCCATACGTGGTGATTTCCCTAAGAAGTGTTCTCACGTCCCATCTACACGTCACTCTGCAATGCCCTCAGTCCTATCACCGGGCCTTGAGTAGTCTCTGTGTGCGTGTGTGTGTGTGTGTGTGTGTGTGTGTGTGTGCATGTGCGTGCGCACATGTGTGGTACTGGGCCTTCACACTGAAATACATTCCAAACTCGGTTTTTACTTTTCATTTTTGAGACAGGGTCACTAAACTGCCAGGCTCGGCTTGAACTTGCGATCCTCCGTCTCAGCCTCCCAGAGTGCTGGGATCACGGGTGTGCTATACCCAGCTTTGCACAGCATTTTTGCCTCCTACTTGGGGGGTGTGGTGGGGACTGGTCGTGTCTGTTTCCTTGGGGGGCCTACAGGCCTATCAACATCCTGCATTACTAGCTGCAAGATGACATCCAGACCCTACCCATCTGGGATCCCAAGAAAGGCTGGATCCTCATATGCCCTTTGCCAGTTTGGCAGGGTACGGCCAGGTGCTATGGAATGAATGTCCCCAAAATCATGTGTTCAAACTGAATTGCCAATGTGTTTTAGGTGATTATATCATGAGGTCAGAGACTCTGTGCATGACTGGAATTACAAATTTTATAAAAATGCCGAGGGAGCCAATTTGCCCTTCTGTCCATGAAGACATAGCGTTCCTAAGGGAGCAGTAAAAGGGCACCACCTCAGGAGGGAGACTGGGGTCACCAAACAGCAAACCTGCTGGTGGTTTGATTCTGGACCCCCAAGCCTGCAGTACAGTGAGAAAATAACTTTTGTTGTTTATAAATTACCCGGTTAATGGTATGTCATAGCAAAATGAACTAAGACAACAAGGACTTGCCCTGAGCCTTCCTGCTCCTGGCTGGCTGTGGTGGCTGCAGATGATCTTCTTGGTATGATACCTGGACTGCCTTCTGCCCTTAGAAGCTCAGGACCTATCTTCTTCATTAAGCTAGCATGACATGTCCCTGACTCTGAGCAGGTTCTGAGCTCCTGTGGAGAGGCTGCTTTTGTCTACTGTCTCAGCCCTTTGGGGATCAGCAGTCGCTCAGGGAATGCTTGCTGAGAACAAGCCTTCTCCAGGTCAGTTTCAGGCGCTTGGCCTCACTCACTCCTCCAGGGCTTCTCTTTCCCTTCCCAGCAGTGGGCAGGCACAGACTCCCTGGTGGGGGCACACCACTCTGCTAGGACTTTCTGGCACCTACTTAAGACATTAGTTTGGCTTGCTGCATGCTGACAGGGCCTGTGGGAAGACACTGACTTTCCAACAGCTAGGACAGCCTGAGATGATGCCGGGAGTGAGACACAGGGTAGGCAGGGGTGCCACCCAGGCTTCCTTAACAGAGAGGGGGAGAAATGGCCAAGTCCTTGCCTCCTGCCCAGCCTGTATCCTCCCCTACTGCCCCGCCTAGAGGCCAGGGGCACTCAAAGCCTTTCACAGAATGCCCCCAGGTGGCCTTTCTGGGAACCACATCCATTCAATGGTCAATATTCTTGGCTAACTTGCTACAATGAGGATGGTGTCATCATTACTTTTAATGATAAAAGCAGAGGCTCAAAGAGGTGGGATGGCTTGTCCCAGCTCAGTGATAGAGCCATTTAAAAAAAATCTATGCCTGGGGCCGGGGATTTAGCTCAGTGGTTTCGCTGCCTGCTGCGCAAGCGCAAGGACCGAGTTCGATCTTCGGTACCAAAAAAAAAAAAATCTATGCCTCTTCTGAAACCACAGAGCTAAATCTCAAGAGTTGAAAGGGCATGTAGGTGATTACAGGTGATGCATAAACCGGCTGTCATCTGCTCCCACGCAGATAATTGGTCTCTGCCTCAACACTTCCAGCATGATGAGATCAGCCTGCACACAGCACCCGCAGGAATGCTGCTTGTGCTGAGGCTGGCAGTGCTATCAGGAGGGGAGGAACGGCCACAGCCATGGCAGCAGAGGGCGGGCCTTGGCTGGGGATGCTGCACCTGCAGGGAGATGAACAGGCCCGGAGCAGTGACACACAGGCCCCTCTCCCAAGGAGCACAGGGGCTTGGGCTGAAGGTAGACATGGGGCAGTGACTCAAGCATGGCTGCCCCTTCCCTAACTAGGTCTTGTAATTTACACCCAAACAAGCACAGGCCTTTGGCCCTGGTATGCAATAAAACTAAAAGTAAAACCCTTGGCTGGAGATTGCTGTGCTGGGCCTGTGTGGGCAGGCAACGGCTGCCCACTATTTGTCAGGCGCTTGCACTTTTTTTTTTTGAGACTGGGTCTCACTGTGTAATTCAGGCTGGCCTTGAACTATGTAGCGCAGGACGGCTTTGAACTCACAGCAATCCTCCTGCCTCAGGTTCCAGAGTACTGGGATTACAGGTATGCACCCCCACGCCTGGCCATTCGGAAGCTAGCATGTTTCATACAACTTCAGTCACTCCCTGATTCTGTAGGGAAGAAACAACTACCTTTACAGATGAGGACACTTGTATTCAAGATTAAGTAGTGAACAGGAGAGGCAGGATTTAATCAAGACCCTCTATGGCTTCTGGCCTGTGTCCCGCACCAACTAGCACTTGCTATAATGCTTCAAGACCCTGGGGTCCAGTAACTTCATCTTTGCTTAGGAGGCTAGTGATGGTGCAGATGGTGTCCTGGCCCTTGGGGCTCTGTTCCAAGATCATCACTTCCCTTGGGTCTTCACTGCAGGTGGCACCAAGTCCTCACGAATGGTGTGAGAAGCTGCTTGTTTATTAGATGGTGCTTGTCCAGGGAAGGCCAGCTCTCCCTCTCCCCACAAACACAACCCAGCTAAAGGAGACAGAGCATCTCTTCACCTATCTTGCTTTATTTTTCTCAGTGCTAGGGACTGAACCCAGGGCCTTTGTGCCAAGCTATGTCCCTATCTCATTTATTGATCTGACTGATTGGTACCAGGGATCGAACTTGGGGCGTTCTGCTTTCGAGGCAGGCAGCGGAACCACTGAACTAAATCCCTGGCCCTCCCTATCCCTTTTAAATTTTTTTTTTGGTACCAGGGATTGAACCCAGGGCCTTTCGATTGTGAGGCAGATGGTGAAACTACTGAGCTAAATCCCTGGCCCTCCCTCTTTAATTCTTTAGAGACAGGGTCTAAGTTGCCCAGGGTGGGCTTGGCTCAAACTTAACCATCCTCCTGCCTCAGCCTCCCAGAGTGCTGGGACTGCAGTGTGTGCACCACCATGCCTAGTCCAACTACCTTGCTTCTAACTTCAATTAATTTCCATCACAGCAATGTTTTTTTTTTGGTTTTTTTGTACCGGGGATCGAACTCGGGTCCTTGTGCTTGCGAGGCAGGCGGCGGAACCACTGATCTAAATCCCCAGCACAGCAATGTTTTTTTTTTCCTTTTCTATACTAATAAAACAGGCAAGACAATTCTGTCCATTTTGTTTTATTTGTTAAACTGCTAAAAATTCATCAGGGGAAAACAATAACAAAAAATGAAATTGATAGATTTAAATATCCATGAAATTCATTTTCATTCCTACACTGTTATGTGCCTAAAATGACTATCTCAGGGTAAGCCACCTGGCACCCCGAAATTGTATGGGAAACATCACTCACAGCACCAGCCTTGCCAGGGAATGATGGATGTGCACTGACATGAACCCTGGTTGGTGGGAGGGAGCAGAGCAGGTACAGAGAGTACAACAGAGCCCACGCCTAAGGTCTGCTCTCACTCACAATGAACATGGGGGAGGGAGTTGCTGAGAACAGGCCTTCCACAGTTCCAGGGGAGAGCTGAACATGGGCTTCCTGCCCTAGGTGGGTTCAGATCCTTCCCACTGACAGCTGCGCTGGTGCAAGACCACAGATAATGCAAAGCAGAGCACATTACCATGCCAGGATCACCAGAAAGACAAGGACAGACAGACCAACCAGGTGTATCACTCTGAAGGGGAAGGGAAAAAGCGAAACAGAGGAAACCAGTAGACAAGGTGAAGGAAAGGGAAATATCCTCTTGTTCTCTGTTGGCCAGTGGCTTTCCATCCTCCAAAGTCAAGACTTCTTATGCTGCTTTTCTTTCTTTCTCCTCTTCTTTATTATAAAGTGTTCCAACATAGCTCCTAGATAGTTCATGGTTTCAGCTCTTGCTATAAATGCAAACATTAAAAGCAAATCAACCCACAGAAGGCTAGGAGGAAAGTAAGTCCCATATTGCCTTAAAAACAAAATTTAAGGTTGTTCTGACACTGAATTGGTGCTCCTAGAATGTGGAGGGAGGGTGGGGTTATGGAGCCCACCACCCATGTGTAGAAGAAGGGTAGAAATAGGAACAAAACTAAAGACGCTCTCTGCTGCATAATATGTGGAATGAGAGATCAGGAAGCTCTGTCCAGGAGGGTGGAAGAGACTCAAATTCGTACATGAGGTCGGCATGGTGACCAGTGAAGTCAATATGACCTAGGGGCTCTCAAAGGCACACTTGTAGGAATGGAGGGGTTAAAGCTTCAAGTAGAAACAAGATGTGTTTTAAATACTTAAATACCGATAAATATTTCCTTAAGGTGATCCTGAGGGTTTAAACAAAAATATTTTGTCTCATTTCTCAGTGAATTTTAAGACAAAATTGGTATTGCCTCAAAAACAAGGTTGTGGTGCCATTCGATCTGATGGCTCTGAGACACCCACTGCAGGTGGCCTCCTAAGGGCCCAAGGAGACAATCACCTGACTATGTTGAGTTGGTTTCCCACAGTCTACACCCATAGTGCCCAGGAGTTGAAACCCACACCATGGGGTATGGATGAGGCAGGTTTTTCTCAGAGGGCTGTAATCGGACAGTCTGGTTACCAGCGGTGTGGGTAACACTGGGGTGTGTGGAATTGAGAGGAACCACATTACTTTCTAATAGAATCAACATTTCTGTCACTTGCCAACTTGGGAAAGCAGAGGAATCAACAGTGGCTTAGGAAGGCCACAGGACACAGAGATTACAAAGTAGAGATTCTGAACTTTCAGGCTTCCAAATACAATACACTTATGCGGGAACCAAGTTTGGAGGCACCATCCACGCACAAACTCAATGTCACAGACAAGGTTCAGCAACAGCAATGATGCTGAACCTTCTAGATTGCTAATCTTCTAGGCTGGCTTTGCCTTGTAGATCAGGAGCCCAAATGATCAACAGTCTTGGCCAAGGAAGGACCGGCAACAGCGCAGAACAGGGAATTGGAAAGCCCTGTGCACAGCTTTGAGCAGTGTGACACCAGAGGAAGTAGGCACGTGGTCTGTCCCTCCTCTGAGGGAACAGTAGAGCAGCTTCAGGCACAGGCAACCTCCCTTCAAGCTGGCCCTTCCCTGGGCTTGGCACCGGAGGCCTTTCCCACCAAGACCACACAGGAAAAGTGGACAGGCAGGGGAGGATTCAGCATGATGCAACAGGAGGAAACACCCTAATCAAGAGGACTGTGAAGTACAGGCTGGGGGCCAAGACCCAGGGCCAGCTGCCAACAGCTTGTGCCTAGGAAATGCTAACAAGAGAAAGGGGCATGGGGGTGGGAAACATGTTTTGAAATTTAAACCCTAAAGGTAACAAAAATCTATCCACTGATGAGAAATCACCAAAACCCCAGATTTCAATGGTCCCATTTGAAATAAACTCATTTGATATCTCCTGTGTCCCAGCCATGGTTTAGAGTCTAGTTAACTTCTAACTTTCTGTATTAACCAAAGAAATGTTCTTACTTGGTTGTACCTTATCTCAGAAATAAAGGGAAAGCTAAAACCCAAGCCTTGTTTGGGTATGGGTGACACATGAACTTCAAGACAAGCACAAGTGAGGAAGCCGCTCACCTGGGCAGCCAGGCATCATGAAGGTCAAGTACATGATACGCAATCTGGTCAGCTGTCAACAGCCAGGCACAAGAACACATGTCACAGGGACACAACCCCACCCACCCAGGGAACTGTTATTAGGATCCCTTCCAGGACCAACCTCCACATTCTACAAATATGGATGAGTGTGCCCAATGTGCACGGACTAAAAAGAAGCCCTTAGGGAAAAAAGTGCCTTTTGATGCTTCAAGGATTTTTTTATAGTACTAGCATCTTAGAATTCCATACTTGCCCCATAGCAATACCAGGGAAAAGGTTCTGGAAATATTTCTAAGAAGCATCTGATTTCTCTAGGAACCTGAGATCTGTGAAAGAAATAAAGTAAGAAAGGTTTTAGGGCTTAGGAAATCCCTATGAAAAAGGGTGTGAGGGGTGGAGAGCAGCCTATAAATGGAAAATACAGCCTCTGGGAACAAAAATTCTAAAATAAGGACAAGGAGAACAAATACAGGTTTTGGGAACTTGCAACCAAACATGATTGTCAGAAAATTCCATAATCAGACAGCAAATGTTTTCTGAGACATGTAGGGAGCACTCAAAGGACCAACGGACACAAGGTGGACAGACGTCGGCTGCATAACATTCCTCAATGATCCTGGCACACTTGGAAAAAAGAAATCCCTTGATGGGTGACTTCCCCAGGGTCACAGAGAGGGTAGAAATGGACCAGGCACAGGGCATCCTGCAGAGCAGTCACAGGTCCTCTGTGGTTTTCTTCTGAGTCTCTCTCACCCTGCCAGCACCTGCAGAGGTGGGGGCTGCACTGAAACCTTTGCATCTTAGCCATGCCCTTCCCATTCTCTAATTCTGAGAAGGCCACATAGAGATGTATAGGGGCTCTTCAGTTTCTATTGGAAACATAATGATTCTTGGTCTAGTTATCAGCAAAGTAGAAAAAGGCAGCATAGCCTCTGCTAAAACACAGCAACAATTTTATCTGAACTAGGATGGAGATCTCTCCCTTTTTTGTAAACAGAGTTAGCTATATAATATATTTTTTATATATAATTTTTGTCTTAATGAAGATTTGATCCCAGCCTGGAGTGAGTTAGACTGGGCATTGGAGTTTTGGTTTAAGGGAATAATGTTACTGTTTTCCCAATTCTTAGTCCAAATGCTTGCACACTGGAAAATTCCAAATTAAAAGCCACAGAAAAGGAAAGGAGATTCGAACACATTATCTCTTTGCACGCACAAAGTACAAGGCGTTTGTTTTTGGATAGTACTTCACATTCTGCTTCTTGTCCATGAGTCCTCCGAATATGATGAGTTCACCCCTGCCTTGGACCACTGTGTGCAGGCTGGTTTCAGGTGGTCCAACCACAGAGGTGCTGTTAAATACTTTCCATTTGACCCGCCCCTTCTCCTTAGTGTCTTTAATGTCCAGCACGTACATTTGCATGGGCTTGCAGTTCATACTCTGGTACAAGGGCTTGCCAACATTGAGGGACTGTGGCGGGTGGTGGCCCAGGCGGCGGGCAATGGGAGGTAAGGAATGTCCATCTCCCTGGCCAGGTCCTGTTGGGCCTGGGCGGGGAATGGGTACTGTTTCTCCACTGCTCAGGCTCTGGCTCCCAGGGGAGCCTGGAGAAGACCCAAGAGGAGGACTTAGCGCTGCAGAGGCAGAGGGGCCTTTGGATGACATCGCTTTGATGGCCTCTAGACTCCGGCGCAGGGCACCAGGTGAGACAGCCCCTGTGAGGGCACTGGCCATGTGCGGAGGGGTATGTACACCATTGGTCTGTTCTGGAAGGTGTCTCGCACTCCCCCCAACTGTCCTGTTGTCCATGCCATCCATATGATTGCTACTGGAAGCAGGTTTTAGGTCCCAACTCAGATCTATGGACCCTAGTCTCAGATCTTTCTGATCTGGTAGTGACCCTCGTCGAGGGGCTAAAGAAAGTCCCATTTTTAGGTCGTATCCTTCAGCAGCAGAAGGAGTGCTTGGAGATAGGGCCTGCACAGGACTGTCCAGGGAAGAGCCACCGACAACTGCTGTTCCTGGAGATAAACTCCCACCGTTGAGGACAGGAGAGCCATCTCCTCTGGCCGGGGAGAGGCTCCCTTCCCGGGAGCCTGAGGGAGTCTGCCTTTGAGCCCTGGGCCTCAGTGTTCCCCAGCGGCCATTAACACAAGGAGCTTCATCCATACTCCTTACTGGAGACTGCGAGCGGTACTCTCGGGTTTCAGGAACCAGGGCTGGAGGAGTGGCACTGATAGGTGATGGGCGAGAGTTCAGACTGGGGCTGAGGGGGGCTCTCCCACTGGGAGCCTGGCTGAAGACCACCACACACTGTCCCACCTGGAAGACAAAGGACTGTGCTCACAGCCTCTTCTACAGTGTGGATCCTTCAACCAACAAATGTTTAAGCATAAGCAGTCCAATGTGCCAGGCATTTTGTCTATTTTTTTGTGGTACCAGGGATTAAACTCGGGGCCTAGTGAATACTAGACAAAAGATCTGCCACTGAGCTACATTTCCAGTACTTTCTTGTTTTGGCAGGGGGGAGGTTCAGACAGGGTCTTGCCCTGCAAACTCACTAAATACCCCAGGCTGCCCTCGTACTCACAGTGATTCTACGCCTCAGCCTCCCGAGTGCTGGGATTATAGGCACATACCACCATACCTGGCTGCACTGTCTTTTTTTTTTTTTCCAGTACTGGGGATTGAACTCAGGACCTTGCATTTGCGAGGCAGGCACGATACCACTGAGCTAAATCCCAGGCCCTACACTTTCTTATTTTATTCTGAGACAGATTCTTGCTACGCTGCCCAGGCTGACCTCAAACTTACAATCCTCCTGCCTCAACCTCCCAAGCAGCTGAGGTTACAAGCATGCACTTAATCTATGCTCAGCTAATATGCCAGGTATTTTGTAGACCTGAGATATAGATGACTTATATGGAGATGAAAATAATGTAGACTGTTCTCTAGGCTAGAAGGACATATAGACATGGGAACAGGCACATTTTTGTTTTTGTACCAGGGATTGAACTTGGGACCTTCCACTTGGGAGGCAGGCAGCAGAACCACTGAGCTAAATCCCTAGCCCTAGACATGGGAACAACTGTTGCTTTAGTGTGATAAGCGGTGTCACTGGGACAGAATGGAGGAAGAAATCAGTTTTCCTTTGTGGAACTCGGGGGAAAATTTCATGGACAATGAAGTTTAAAGGACTTAAAGGAAATTTAAAGGACTTTGGGACTTAAAAGATGCATAGGGACCATGTAATTTTTCCCATTTATATATGTAGGAAATGACAAAGGAGCTAATACTCAATGTCCACCTCTTTTGTGTCAACAAAGTGTTTTCTATCTCTGTACAAATTTCCTCTGAAATTTGATAGACTGATTTGGTTTCCAGCTGAGGACCTCTGGTGCAAGCCTGTCAGCTCCCTGCTTACCCGGCAGGCTGGATGGCACCACAGCTCTGGAGCCCCATGATCTTCATTTTCTACCTTGAGTGGCTGCCAGGCCCAGGGACCTGAGTGCATGTGCAACAACCAAGCGTCCTTGAAAAGCTGTAAGAAAAGGATCGGACAACAGGACTCAGGTGCAGTACACACCATACTGCACACGTAGAGCTGCAGTCTCAATGTGGGGCAGTCTGGTCTAGAAAGTGTGTAAGCCTCAGAGAGGAGTCATGTCCTCAGTTACACACTCAGGTGTGTATGCATCCACTCTCACCTTCATCCACACACATGCTACCACTGTCCAGTCTGGCACATGGAATTGTGTTTATCATCCATGAATCAGCTGTAACTGTTTTGATCCATGGTTGTATGTTTGTGTGTGTATAATGGGGTGTAGAGGAGAGGATAGATAACAACATATCCATAACTGTCTGAAACTGCAATTTTTTTTTTCCTGTATTTTGAGACAGGGTCTTGCTATGTAAGTCCAGTCTGGCCTTGCACTCACTATGGAGCCCAGGCTGGCCTCGAACTTACAGTGATATGCCACTACGCCTGGCAGAAACTGCACTCTTAAATAAATTCCAGGTGGACTTGGGCAGTTACCCACCTGCTTTTCTGACTCCCCCTGCCCTTTTGAAAAAAGGATAGCAGTAAACCTTGAAGCTTAAAGAGGAAATATGAAAAGGAAGAATATAGATATGAATATTCAAGAGATAAATGTCTCTGATTAGTAGCATGTCATAATCCCTCAAAAGTGGGCAAGGGGAAAGGCCAGAAAATACAAAGGCCCAGGGTGGACAAGGCATTCTCTAATGAAAAAGCCACAGAAAGAGTCTCGTATACTTTTCCATGGTAAGCGAGAGAAGCAGGTTTTGAATACTTAGCAGCACATGCATGGAAATGCCATACAAGCAATACTCACAGCATTGGGACCGCCGCACCCTCCAAGGATTAAGATAGTCGCATTGTCTATGACAATCTGAAGAGGAGAAGAAATTTAAAGTAAACCTACAATGACACAGGTAAGTGACTTCCTATGCCTGTGATAAATAAAAATAGCATACTCAGCTCCCAAATGGAGTGTTTTAGTTATCACAAGCTCTCCATTCTCCCCCAAACCATGTCAGTTTTGAACCCTTGAACAAATTACTGGTGATTCCCAAACGGATACATTCTTTGTTGGTCAAATATTAACATGAGTCAGCCACATAAAATGCAGGATTCGCCTGAGAAATGAAACAGCAAATACTTTGAGGATAGGTATAATATAAAGCTACTATAAATAATATGACCATTGGAAGCTGAAAACTAAATACCAGCAAAAAAAGAATGACAAATTCTCTTTGGTTTAGTGCCTATTGGCATCTTACCTGACTCCCTCCTCCCTCTCCCATTCTAACTGAAAGATGCTACAGTGTTAGCTGAACAGTTACTTTAATTCCTGAGCACCTGAGATTGGCCACCTCGAGGATGAGGACTGGGGCCGGTGATGTTCGGCTTGGACCATGCCCACTGCTCGAGGTCAAGGACCCAGACATCATTGCTCCTGTGGGACAAGGACAGAAGGATGAAGAAGCTGGGATCTTCCAGGGACCACAGTGGAGATCAGGAAGCTCCATATGCCTGTGCCCGGCTGGGCAATTTCCCACACTCACAGAGATGGTCTGGGGTGGAGGAAGCTTCAGAGATAGGCTCCTTAGAGTTCAGGGGCTTCACAACCAGAAAGAACGTTGGTGAAATCCTAACTCTGCAGCCTGAACAAGAAACTTAATTTTTATAATTTTGTCTCCCTGTCAAATATAAGCACTGCTACTCTAAAGAGCTGATACAAATGAAGTTATACTTATGAATAAGTCCAACAAAGTGCCATGCCCTTACCTAGCACTTAAAACTTTATTTTTCTTCCTCTACTGTCCCAGAACTCATGTAGAATATTTCAAACCTTTGCCCTTTCCACTGACCAGAAGGTCTTTGTGTGAATTATGTCTGTGGCCACACAATAGCATCTAAAGTACAAGTTACTTGGGGATAGCAAGAAACAGCTATAGGTCAAGTGGTATGTTTTGGAGTGGGGGGACAACTCAGAACTGAATCCAGGGCCAACAAACTGAGCTACATTCCCAGGCCTTTAAAAAAAATTTTTTTTTGGCATCAGGGAATCGAACTCAGGACCTTGTGCTTTCGAGGGAGGTGCAGTGCCACTGAGCTAAATCCCTGGCCCATGGCCTTTTAAATTTTGAGACAGGGTCTAGCTAAATTGCAAAGTTGCCCCAGCTGGACTTGAACCTGCAATCCTCCTGCCTCAGCCTCCCAAAGTGCTGGAATTACAGGTGTGTGCCGTGTCTGCTGTATGTAATCTTTTAAAAAGAAAAACCAAGCCAAGCATGGTGGCACATGCCTGTAATCCCAGCACTCAGGGGGCTGAGGCAGGAGGATCATTGTGAGCTCGGGGCCAACCTGAACTACATAGCAAGCCTCTGTCTCAAAAAAACCAAATGAACAAACAATAAAAAGCAAAAGGAAGAGGAAAAAAAAAGATTCCAAAAGCAGCTGGTATTCTATGTTATCATGGCCCAGGAGTTAAAAGCTTTATTGATCCCAGCTACAAAAAGGAAAAGGAACTTCACAATGCTAATGAAAGCTGCAGTCTGATCAAGGACAGACTGGCATCTCCAACTCTCAAGAGCCCAGCACAAGGACAGACTCCTGGACAGCAGTATCTATTTTATGGTCACTTCTCTGAGGTCCTTTCTGCACATACAGGAATGCCAGGATTCCAAAGTTAAACCCTTAACAGCTCCTTTAGTCTCTCCATAACTGTTTTAAAATAGGAAAATGGGGCAAACTCTGACAGAGAGGAAAGGGTTGGGTCTGAATAATTTTACTGCTGACAGCCCATCAACTTCCATTTCCAGCACAGGGGAAATGACCCCTGCTGTGGCTATGGCTGGACTGGAATAGTGACCCAGACAACCTGTCTGGGTCTTGCCTCTGGCCTGAGTTGGCCAGTGACGCTCAGAGGTGGAGAGGATGGGGTGGGGAGAAAAGCCTCATGGAAGTGCGTCACACCTGATACAGTTTTCTTGTGTCCGTGCATCCTCACAGCCCATCCTATCTAGAGAGCCCACAACTACCATTTGGTCCTGTCCACCACTCTCCTTGTCTACAGCCCCAAAGGAGCTGGGTGATAAATTTAAGTAAAAACACCCTGCTTCTGGAAGGTGGCCCTCTGTAGGCATGGTATAGCAGACAAGGTGGAGGCTCCATCAGAATTTTTTTTTTTTGGTGTCAGGGATCGAACTCGGGTCCTCGCGCTTGCGCAGCAGGCAGTGAAACCACTGAGCTAAATCCCCGGCCCCTCCATCAGAATTTGATCCCAACACAACATCAAACAGAACATTTTAACATGATCTTGATTTTATGCAGCAAATTTCCCAACTTAACTGGTGTGCAATTAAGGGATCAAAGGACAGAATGCTAGAGCGAGGTAACTAGTTACCTGACTAGTTCATTTTTTCTTTTTCTGTTCCTTTCCTGCAGTACTGGGGATAGAACCTAGGTCATCACATATGGTTGGCAAGCACTCCACCACTGAGCTATAACCCCAGCCCTTAGTTCAGTCTTCTGATCTGTTATTCCCAGAAGTATTTATCTTTAGGTTAATATGGAGAGAACCAAATATACTCACATTTGCCGGGATCCTAAAGAGCCACCAAAGACAATCATTTTATCATCTATCACACAGGAGGAGTGGCCAGCCATGGGAGGTGGCCCATGGGTTGTTACAATGCAATTCCACCTAATGTAAAGAGGAGGAAACCAAGAAGTGAGCACCATCTGCTTCTGATTGCACAGGTTTAAGGCAAAAAAACAATTGCATTATACAGTGTACTTACACAAAGGCAGATGGTGTTGCCCAATACAGAACTAGGCTACACAATATGGAGTAAGTATATGTGGTCTACCATTGAACAAAACATTGTTATGTGGCACATGATTAAATACTGATTTGCTGAGATAGTAGGTTCCAGTCCCCACTAATTCCTTCAACTTTTTTTAAAATAAAAAACTAGCATGTATAAGACACTGTATAATAGTAATGGTAAAATTGCACAGTTACATTTCTCAGAACATATCCCCATCATTATGCAATACATGATATATGTCTCTTATGAATGTTTGATACAAAGATTGAGTAGAAATAGAATTACTTGGTAAAAAGAGGAAACAATGTACTATTTTTATAACTACTGTAAAGATTTGCAGTTTTCCAATTATAAAATATCATGATTATATTTAATTAGAAAATACCAAAAACTAATAAAGACTAATTAAATTTTTTAAAAAATTACATTTAAAATGATAATCGCATCACCTCAAGCAAAGATAGTATTACGATAATAAAGGGAGGATAAACATGGTGTGTTGCATAGCCAGTAATCCCAGTACTCTGGGAAGCCCATGCAGGACTGCAAGTTAGAGCCCAGCCTGGGAAACTTATCTCAAAAAATGGCCTGGGGATATAGCTTTGTATGAAGGTGCTGGATTCAATTCCCAGTACCAAAAAGAAGGGTGGTGGTGGTGGCACAAAATATGCCTTTCCTACAAACTTTCTAAAGATTATATTCATTAACTTTCAAGTTCTCAGTATGGATGGTCTGGGGAGAGAGAAGAGAAGACGATGACAAGGGACAAGACTGGTATAGTCTTGTGTGTTGATGGAGCACCACCTGCCACTTCTCCCTGTGGTCCTAATCAGTAGCAGCTCCCAAGAACCATGCACTAAGTATATCGCTACAAGGAACAGGGCTGCTGTTATTTAAAGACAAGTCTTGTGCCGCCTGCCTTGTAAGTGCAAGGTCCCAAGTTTGATCCCCGGTACCAAAAAAAAAATAAAAAGACAGGTCTGGAGCTGGGGATTTAGCTCAGTGGCACCGCACCTGTCTCAAAAGATCAAAGTCCTGAGTTCGATCCCTGGTACCAGGGGAGGAAAAAAAAAACAAGTCTGAAAAAAAAGCTGAGAGTCAATCTTGGGGACATAGCCATGTGCAAAGAATCATCTGGATCTGTATCACTCTTGGGGAATTAGCAGCCAAAGCTAAAGAGCTCTGTCTTCTTTAATTAGTGCATTCATTTTTCTTGAATTTTTTTTTTCTTTTTTCTTTTTTTGAGACAAGGTCTCACTCTGTAGCTCATGCTGGCCTTGAACACACTATGTCGCCCAGTCTGGTCTTGAACATGCAGCGATCCTCCTCCCTCAGCCTCCTGAGTGCTGGGACTACAGGCATGCGCCACCACACCTGGCTTATTTTTCTTGAATAATCTCTTCTAGTTTTTTCTCTCTGAAAAAAGGGGGTTTTATTTTTTGAGATAAGGTCTTGCTATGCAGTTCAGGCTGGCCTAGAATTCACTGTGTTGTAGCCCAGGCTGGCCTTAAACTTGCTGTGATCCTCCAGCATCAGCCTCCTGAATGCTGGGATTATAGATGTGGGCCACCACGCCTGGCTGAAAAAAGGGTTCTGAATTTACAGTCCTAAAGAGGGTTCTGCAAACACAAAAGCTAGATATAATACATTCCCCCACCCCTGGAAAAAGTGTTTTTAGTTTGTTATCAAATTCTTCAAGGGATTCATGACACAAAAGAGGGAGTTTCAAAGCCAAGTGTGCTGGTTGAGGTGCAAGGATGGCAAAATTCAAGGCCAAGGCCTGCCTGGCTACACAGCAAGACCCTGTTTCAAACAACAGGAACAAAGAATCCAATGTTTTAAAATCTTTTCTTCCACATTTAAAGAAGCTAATTTTTGTGGCTTACCAGTTTTTAGAAGGTGAGTAAGTGTGTATTTCATCAAAGAATCTCTCTGGTTGGTGTAGAGGATAAGGGCTTGGTCGTGTCCAGCCACCAAAGAGCACTAGCAAGTCCTTGTACACAACCAGAGTTGCTCCAGCTTTGGGGGAAGGATAGGAGCCTAGGAGAAATCAGTAACACTACGATTAGAATTCAGGGTCTCACAAGAACCTATTGTGAGGCTAGCCATAAATTACCTTTGCCTGTGAGAACAATAAATAAGGTGAGAACCAGTCCTACAAAGCCAAGTCTGACAAAACTAGGTTTGCAGGTCTAAGAGAAAATTGCCACTGATTTATAAATCTTTTATAATTAACACAGAGAAACCTGAGTTAGAGGAAAGTCACTTAGCTTCTTTCAGACTTAATTTGCTTACTTAAAATTAAAGAAGAGAGTAACTATCTCACAAGGCTGCTCTGACTTATTAAATACATCCCCCAGGGCCAGGGATGTAGCTCAGTGGTGCCATGCCTGCCTCGAAAGGGCAAGGTCCTGAGTTTGATCCTCATACTGAAAACAAACAAACAAACCCAAATAAATACAGCCGCCAATTTCCCAATTTGGTTCAACTTACAACTTTTTTTTTTGAGGTACCAGGGATCAAACTCATGACCTTGTGCTTTCAACTTATAACTTTTTAACTTTACAATGGCGCTAAAGTGCTACACATTCAGTAGGAACCATAACCCAAATTTAAATTCGATTTTCTGTGTCTGTCTGTCTCTGTCTGTCTGTCTGTCTCTCTCTCTCTCAAAGGGCTGGGGCAGTAGCTCAGTGAGAGGCCCTAGGTTCAATCCCCAGTATCAAGAAACAGAGGTTGGCGGGGGAAGAAACAGAGGAGAGGACAATGAGACAAAGAAACAAAGAAATGGAGGGAGGGAACAGTTGTTCAACATAATTCTCTTTTTGTACTCCACCAAAGTCACTCCATTTGATGAAGGCCTCTGTGAAAGGTAATATATATACAGTATAGATCCTTAATTCCTCACTAGAAATTCCCAAATCCTTAGAATTCTCCCCTTCCAAATCACTAGGTGATAATAAAACTTGACCTGAAGTGATAAAGCTATGCAGTCTTTTCTTAATCTGCTTATTCACAGATGCTGAGGTAGAAGTAGTCTGATTACAGGCCACTCCCCACACAAAGGATACACATTTTCCCATCCTAAAACCTGAAAAAGTCTAAATTCGGGGGGTGGGGGTGGGGGGATGGGAGGTGGTTTAAAATGAGAAACTATGATTAAGAGCATAGGCTCTGAACCTTGGGGGGCGGGGAAGGAGGAGAGATTCCAGCCCTGCCCTCTAACTAGTTGTGAACCTCTGGCCAATTATCAGATCTCCCTTGCCTCAATTTTTTTTTATCTATTGAAAGAACAGCAGGGGGCAGGGATTTAGCTCAGTGGTTCCACTGCCTGCCCAGAAAGTGAAAGGACCCGAGTTCAATCCGCCATACCAAATAAACAAACAAACAAACAAACAAATAAATAAATGAACAAACGAACAGCAGGATTGGCAGGGGATTTAGCTCAGTGGTTCCGCGGCCTGCCTCTAAAGTGCAAGGTTCCAAGTTCCATCCCTGGTACCAAAAAACAAAACTAAACAAAAAAAAGAACAGCAGGAGTACCTGCTTCACAGAGTGGAAGTCACCCCAAGTCCCAGGAAAGTACACCCAATGTGATACAAAAACCCAAAGCAATGGCTAGCATGACAAGACCATGTTGGGTTTGCTTTTTCATGCGTACTGTTTACTGTACCATTTAAAAAAATAAATTACCAATATTTTATAATCTATTTTTTTTTGGTATCAGAGATCTAACTCAGGACCTTGCAGTTGCGAGGCAGGTGCCAGAACCACTGAGCTAAATCCCCAGCCTGAATTACCAATATTTTTTGAGGAAAGATAAACCAGTATTTTCCAGTTCTGGGTTTAAAGAAATTACAAATGTAGTATAAGAATATGTATTTCATAAGGGGGAAACATTCACAGCATTCTAGAAGTTTGGTTGTGAGGGTAAAAGATAATAACATATATAGTCAAACTAATGGAAAACACTACATTTCAGACTTGTTCTCTCCAGCACAGTCACTATTATCACATGTTGCCAGTGACTATTAAACTGGAGAGGTCAGATAGACAGCCTTTCTATCATTAAAGAAAGTTCTATTGGACCACACCACTTTAGACAAAGGATTTTAACTTTATAAACTGTGTACCTATGTTTGGATGGAATACGGAAGGTGGTAGAGATGAACAGGTGACTTCATGGACTTTAAAAGAAATTACAATTACCATTATCATAATTATTCCTACTGCTATCACTTTAGTGATAAGCAATGTTTATTGAACACTTACTATGTGATAGGCCACTTTACATAATGAAATAGGCAGTAATAACATATATTTTTTAACCATAAGCACAAACATTCACGTATACTAATGATAATCATATGGGTATAACATATATGAACAAATAAAACTGTTCATAAAGAATAAGTCAAAGCTGGACATGGTGGTACACGTCTGTCATCCCAACCCTCTGGGAGAGTGAGGCACAAGAATAGCAAGTTTGAGCCCAGCCTAGGTAATTTAGCCAGACTCTGTCTCAAAAAAGAAAAAAAGAAAAAAAAAAAAGGTGGTGGTAGTGGTGGGGGTTGGGATGTAGCCCATGTTGAAGGTTCTGGGTTCAATTCCCAGTACTAGGAAAAAAAGTATAAATGAGTATCACTATAGTTGGTTGATCATGTGCACAGAGCTACATAACTTTAAAACTACAAGTGATAGGTAGTCTTTCTTCTTATTTATTTATTTATTTTTGGTACTGGGGATCAAACTTGGGACCTTACGCTTGCGAGGCAGGCAGCAGCACCACTGAGCTAAGTCCCCAGCCCCCAATTATTTTTTTTTTTCCCAAATTATTATTTTTTTTAAGACAGGGTCTCACTGCATAGTCCAGCTTGGTGATCTTCCTGCCTCAGTCTCTCTAGTGGTGGGATTATAGGCACGTGCTACCACGCTTGGCTTCTATCTATTTATTTGGGAGACAGGGTCTTACTATGTAGTCCAGGCAGGCCCCAAAGTTGCTATGTAACCCAGGCTGGCCTCAGACTCTAGATCCTCCTGCCTCAGTGTCCCTAGTGCTAGGATTATAGGCATGTACTGCCATACCTGGTTATGACAGTTAATGGGAGGGGGAGACCACAATACTGAGGACTGAACCCAGGACCTTCACACTGAACTACCTTCTCAGCCTTTTATTTATCTATTAATTAATTCATCCACTTATTTATCTATTGGTAGATTTTTCTGTTTTTCTTGCTACGCAGTTCAGGCTGGCCTCAAACTTCTGGCGATTCTCCTGCCTCTGCCTCCCAAGTGCTGGGATTTTTACAGGTGTGTGCCATGACACCCGGCTTTTTATTGGTGTTTTTGAGACAGGGTTTTTTTTATTGGTGTGTTTTTTTTGGTACTGGGGATTGAACTCGGGTCCTTGCGCTTGCGCAGCAGGCAGTGAAACCACTGAGCTAAATCCCCAGCCTCTTTATTGGTTTTTGAGACATGTAGTCCAGGCTGGTCTTGAACTCACTATGCTATACTCGATCTTAGCCAAAAGCTGAGAAGTGATTTGAACTCCCTATGTATCTTAGACTGGCCTCAACTCACTGCAATCCTCCTAACTCAGCTTCCCATGTGCTGGGATTACAGGTGTGCACTACCACACCTGGTTTATCTTTAAAATTTTTAGACCAAGTTTCATTAAATTTCTCAGGCTGGGCCTGAACTTGCAATCCTCCTGCTTCAGCCTCCAGAGTGCTCGGCTTACAGGCATGTGCCAGCACACAAGTATGATAGTTAATCTTGATTGTCCACTTGATTGGCTTGAAAGATGCCTAGATTAGTAAAGCAAGCACATTTTTGGCTGTGTCTAGGTGGGTCATGGGGGTGTGACCCAGGGGACTCTTATCTGATCCCTGGCCTCTTCCCTGCTCACTCTGTTTCCTGGCTTCCGTGAGGTTAGCAGTTTTTTCCACCATACTCTTCCTCCATGATATTTCTGCCTCCAAGCCAGCCCACTGTGAAAACTGTGAGCCAAAATAAACCGTTCCCTCTTTTAAACCATCTATGCCAGGAAATTTGTCTCAGCAATGGAAAAACAGAAAGCTGACCAATAGACTGCAGTCATCTGAAATAACACGATGGACTATCTATAATCTCTCTCTCCCTCTCTTGCACTGGGGATTGAACCCAAAGCCTCCCACTGAGCTGCTCCATGTCCTGCCCCTTTTGAGACAGGGTCTGGCTAAATTGCACAGGCTGACCTCAAATTTGTAATCATCCTGCTTCAGGCTCCCAAATAGCTGGAATTAGAGAAGTGCACCACAACACCTGACTTCCACACTTTCATAGACATGCACAATGTTTATACACAAAATCAATGATATGCATTGACTGCTATGCCAACAGTGTAATTCTCAGTCTGAGCCTGAGAACCTGTGGCCCTGAGAATTCACTGGTCTTGTCCTGGAGTCCAAAAGCTAGCAAGCTTGGGGTTCTGCTGTCTGAGGCAGCTCTGAGAGAGACCTCTCTCCTGCATTTTTCTCTGCCGATCAGCTGAGCAGACAGTGCCTGCCCAGGCAGAGGAGGATCCTCCCCACCTAGTGCCCTTAGACCCTCAGGCCAATCTCCCCAAACACCCTCACAGCTACACCCAGAACAATTCTTCACCAGGTTTCTAGGTATCTGTCTCACCTAACTGATCCAATTATCCTGCACACAACTGAAAATGCACTAACCCCAGCTCCAGAATTCGGTCTTCTAACCCTCTCATACTGTCCTTTTTCCACTGGGAACTGAGGTTTTCCAAATTCAGAATTTTCAAATTTGGGATTATGTCAATTGGCACTGAAGTACATACCACATGAACACTTGTAAAATGAAGGTTTTATATTCATTTGAACACTTCTTGGGCTTGCCTTCAAGAGCCCACTAGGCCTCCATGTATGGTCTAGGTATAGCAGGAAGAAAAGGGTGTCGCTCCCATCGAGGTCCTTGTCATGTGCCACAGGACCAAATATACCCACATGACATGTGGTCAGACACGTCCCTTGAGTCTGTCCCCCCAG